GAGAAGAAGATTTTTGAAATTTTAGTCAATTTGACCCTTTTTGGCCCCGCCCCTCAGGCCCCTGGGGGCTTAGGACTAAACCGGCAACTATTTTTGTTGACCTTTGTCCATGGAAGGTCCCTGCAAAATTTCATTAAAATTGGTTCAGGGGTTTTGGAGAAGAAGTCGAAAATGGAAATTGTTTACGGACGGACGACGGACGACGACGGACAAAAGGCGATCGCAATAGGTCACTTGAGACTTTGTCTCAGGTGACCTAAAAAGCTACTGGCCATCTATTATGACTAGGTCATTTGGTTCCTTAGGTGAAGTTGTTGCAGTGTTGTAACATTCAAATTTGCACAATGTAATATTGACAGATTTTGGTTTCATTTAAACTTTGTAGATCATTTACTGAGAGTGCTACATAATAAATATCAAAATCATTCAACTGCTTGTTTGTTACAAAAACATTTTTTAGATGCCCCTCACAGGCCCCTGAAAGTCCCCAACCTTTTTTCTTTCCCAAATCTGAACAAAAAATCACCTAAGATGACTTTATACCAAAGTTAGCTAAAAACAGCCTAACCATTCTTGAAAAATACAACAGATTTCCAAATAGAAATGTTAGATAAGTTACCTCCCCTGGGTCGTTGTACCAGAGTTCCTCGTGGAGTCTGTAAGGATGATTCTTTTTCCTGTTGAGCTCCTCCATCCATTTGTTGTCCTCATCCTCGTTCTCGTCAGAATCAGAACCACTACTGCTACTACTGCTGCTGCTACTGTCCGAATCTGGACAAACACCAATCAAAGAAAATTATATTCAGTAGGAAAATTAGTCATCCTGACCTCAAATATTGATAAGTTTGGAATGAAAGAGTCATACTTTCACAAAAGTAGTACTTGTATTAAATTTGTTTCCAACAAATCAGAGAGATTTTGCTGAAATTCTTTAATTGAGTCCTAGTCAAGAAATTTACAAGTAAGAAGTATTAAACATTGTAGCATTTCAACAAAATTCTGTGTCTAGAACAAAATTGATGAAAATATGTCACAGGGTTTATTATGATTATCACCAACATTTCTATCTTATGTAAGACATTTTCTTAACTTAAGCAATGTCATCAAATAAGAAGGATGAAATCAATGAGCAAATATGGATTAACAGGTGTAAGACAAAAGCTGATATGTTACTAGGTGAAAGTCTCCTGGTGTACATTAACATTGGGGCATTTATTACTCAAATGTATCACAAATTCAACAATCTCTAAAATTCATAATTAAGCACACTTATCAAGGGATCTATCTCCTCATCAATGTCATAATTAGAAAACAAGTCTCCACAAAAAGTAACTGACACTAGATCAATAAAACTGTAACATGTCCGGTTTACCTGAGTGATGATGGTGGTGGACGTGGCTATGAACCGGAAGTGGTGGGGGTACCTCAACCTTTGGCTGAGCTTCCTTGATTAACTTGGCTCGCTGAAGCAACTCCTGGTCAAACTTGGCCTCCAGGTCAGTCATTCTCTTTGTACTTTCCACACACCCTGACTAGGACACCAAACTTATCTATTGGTCAATACTGGACAGACTATGCACAGAAACACATATCTACCTTGACATGAGAATTGATTTCATGAAATGTAAAGATGTAATTTGTACAGCATTTTTTTTCTGTTTCATTAATAAACATGAAACAAACTTATGGCTGACATCAAATTTAACAATCACATTTTAAATAGTGAATCATTACTGTATAGATTAAGATGGAACTCTTGTTACCTCAGTGTTCCTTATGAAGTAGAGATCGGCCGGAGAACACCTGATCCAGGCAGGTGGGGTAACATCATTGGGCTCTACAGCCTCGGATTGGTCCTGGCTCTCTGTTTCCTCGTCTGATGGCTCCTCACCAGCTAATCCTTCTTCAGGCTTTGATGTCATCAGCTCTGGACTTAATGTCCGTTTCCTTTTTGAATCACTGCAACATTTGATTTACATAATTCATATATTCAGAGTCAGATAACCCTGAAGTTTTAACTTGATTATGGTATAAAATGGAATCAGATACAGATTCATATAAAAATAATGAAGAGTCATTCACTCTGAATAAGGCTGTCAAACAGATATACAGTATAACCTGTCTAAACCAGCCCCTGACTAATCCAGATCCCTGTCTAAACTGGCTGTGATTTGTGGTCCCGGCATATTCCCTATATAATCATAGTAGTTAAACCCTGTATAAGCCAGACACCTGTATAAACCAGCCACCTGTATAAACTGGACAAATAGTTTGGTCCTGGTGACATCCGGTTTAGACAGGTTATACTGTAGTCAAATCTTCTTAGACAAGCCAGTGATCCAGCCACCACTAATCTGGTAGTCACACTATCCAGTCACCACTAATCTGGTTGTCCAACTATCCAGTCACCACTAATCTGGTTGTCACACTATCCAGCCCCCACTAATCTAGTTGTCCCACTATCCAGCCCTCACTAATCTTGTTGTCCAACTATCCAGTCACCACTAATCTGGTAGTCACACTATCCAGCCCCCACTAATCTAGTTGTCCCACTATCCAGCCCTCACTAATCTTGTTGTCCAACTATTCAGTCACCACTAATCTGGTTGTCCCACTATCCAGCCCCCACTAATCTTGTTGTCAAACTATCCAGTCACCACTAATCTAGTTGTCCCACTATCCAGCCCCCACTAATCTTGTTGTCCAACTATCCAGTCACCACTAATCTAGTTGTCCCACTATCCAGCCCTCACTAATCTTGTTGTCAAACTATCCAGTCACCACTAATCTGGTTGTCCCACTTTCCAGACCCCACTATTCTGGTTGTCCCACTATCCAGCCCCCACTAATCTAGTTGTCCCACTATCCAGCCACCACTAATCTGGTAGTCACACTATCCAGCCCCCACTAATCTGGTCATTCCCACTATCCAGCCATCTCTAATCTGGTTGTCACACTTTCCAGCCCTCACTAATCTGGTTGTCCCATTATCCAGTCACCTCTAATCCCGTTGTCCCACTATCCAGCCCTCACTAATCTGGTTGTTCCATTATCCAGTCACCACTAATCTGGTTGTCCTACTACTCAGCCCCCACTAATCTGGTCGTCCCACTATCCAGCCACCTCTAATCTGGTTGTCACACTATCCAGTCACCACAAATCTGGTCGTCCCACTATCTAGTCACCACTAATCTCGTTGTCACACTATCCAGCCCCTACTAATCTGGTCGTCCCACTATCCAGCCCCCACTAATCTGGTAGTCCCACTATCCAGTCACCACTAATCTGGTTGTCCCACTAACCAGCCACCACTAATCTGGTTGTCCCTCCATCCAGTCACCACTAATCTGGTTGTCCAACTTTCCAGTCACCACTAATCTGGTTGTCCCACTAACCAGCCACCACTAATCTGGTTGTCACACTATTCAGCCACCACTAATCTGGTTGTCCCTCCATCCAGTCACCACTTAATCTGCAAGTGTTTAAAGGGGACATATTTCCTATACACAGTTGTCACAGTACTCCAGCCATCTTCCACTTCAGCCACTTTTTCCATAGGAAGGTCACTGGATTATTTAGTGTCCACTACTCTTTAGTAAAAGGTCTGCACATAGCATGTGAATGTGGATTAAAACACTCTGAAGAACCATTTGAGTTTTCTCATTTTTACCAAGCATGTACCAATTGTTGTAAAATATACATATACACACCTGGAGTAAGATTCTTCATTGTTTCGTCTCTTGGTTCCTCTCGTTTCATCTTCATTTTCACGGTTTCCATATGGTCTATTCTCTCGACGACCTCCTCCTCTTGGGCTCTCATTTACATTATCTCCTCTTGTGCCGCTACTTCTAGAGTTGTTATCCCTCCTAATATTTCCTCTTGAATTCTCCCTCCTTGAACCGTATCCCCTTGTATCATTTTTCTGTGTGTTATCATCTTTTGGACTATCTCTAGGTCTAGAGTTACCTCCCCTTCGGGAGTCTGTCCTGCCAAAAGACTCACGCCTGGATTTTCTGCGATTGAAAAATTCAGACATGGAATAGCATTACACTTGTACTGCAATTACTTCAATGAATATTAAATAACGTATTAAGCATTTTGATCGACCTATTCATACTGGTTATTGATAGCAATAACACCAAATATTAACTGATAAAGAATCCCTTCAAAATTACTCGATAACTGGAGTAATAATGTTTGTCATAAGGCATTTCAAAATTGATTTAATAATTTTATTATCAAGAAACAAAAGAATTTATCGTGCTTCATAAACAGAACTCTGTTGGCACTAGTGTTGGGAATCGGTCCGATATTAAAGATCGATTATCGGACCTTTAAGATCGATCGTTAATCGATTATCGGTTGAAATAGGCACCAAAAATAATACATTTTAGGAATTGACACTACTGTCTAATCAATTAAAAAAATATCTATATAACAACATGTTTTGTTCGAAAAAAAGAATAACCAAGTTTATTTAAGAGACATTCATATGATGAGAAAAGGCAATTCAGAAATGGACAATGACCAGTAGATTACCGTTTGATAAGTGAGCATACTTTTTTCTATCTCCTGCAGATGAGTCCTGATGATAGCAATCGTAACACAAACAAATCAGGTTATGCATTTTGGGTTACTTTATATGACATTTATTATTGTGAATTAAGTTAACTCATTTGAAATTGAGTGAAATTGCAATATGACATGCATGCAGTTCCGGATTCTCCAGTCAGTTATAAGCATAGCCATATCTACAAAACACTGCACCGACCATGATTACATAATGACTATTATAACTACCATGCTTGAATGCCGGCATGGTTCAAGCGAGAATCAACCAGACCTGATGAAAAGGATGTTTTATTTTGGATTAAACATGAAAAGCAACTGTATGTATCTTAAGAATTTCAGTTCTCCATGACAAATCTACAAAAACAATCTTCTTCAGGAATGACAAAGTTTCAAAATCGATCTTTCATGTGCTAAATGGATTATCGAATAGACCCCATGTCAAGCTCAATTTAAATGATGTTTTTGTTTATCGGTACACCACTAGTTGGCACATATGGGATAAATTCCAATTATTGTTTTATTGAACATATATACTAACGTATTTTACCTGTAATAAGCCCATGCCTGGTAATAAGTTGTGCGGAGAATTGCCAGCTAGCTCACGATACAATACATATCGCAATACGAATGCCAAGATAAATTGATATCGTGAAAAGTATCACAAACGTCTATCAGAAAAATTTCCACTCTCACAGTTCATGTAAAGGGTGCTTCATTGCATTTTACATAAAACTAACATAACACAACAGTGAATGCAGTAAAATGAAAGCCCCATTGCAGAAACTTTGGATTATATATGTGCCTGATAAGCACTTAACTTAAGTATTTGATGCAGCCAATCTTAAAGGTTAGGCACATGTGTGTATCCTGATTTATAACATCTGTGGTGTATCCTGATTTATAACATCTGTGGTGTATCCTGATTTATAACATCTGTGGTGTATCCTGATTTATAACATCTGTGGTGTATCCTGATTTATAACATCTGTGGTGTATCCTGATTTATAACATCTGTGGTGTATCCTGATTTATAACATCTGTGGTGTATCCTGATTTATAACATCTGTGGTGTATCCTGATTTATAACATCTGTGGTGTATCCTGATTTATAACATCTGTGGTGCGCTGCCTAAAACTTTAACTCAGAAGAATTACGTCCCTTAACTAATATGTGACGCAGTCAAACTTTAACGTTAGGCATATGACATGCACGGACATCAATATATCCTATTCTGCGGGCTTGCCAACAGTCACACTTAAAAGCAACTTCAACCGACAACAAGCATCTTAAATTAATTGATCGTACAAAAACAATTCATTATTACTTGGTTAATTTCTTAAGGATCAAAATGAAACTTGTTATATTGTTGTATTATCTTCTGATGTCACTTAATTTCTCAATTACTTTTAGAGATATAATCTGAAGATGATTCTTCACAGTAGAGTTAAATTCAATTCATCATTACTTGGCCTTTTTAAAAAATCAACCTGAAGATTGGTATATAGGTTCATGAAAATCACATGAATAGCATGTCTTCTGATGTCGCTGACTTAAGTATTCCTAAAGATTTTTTTTGATGACACATTGTTAACTGTACAGGTCAATATATATATATACACACATGTACGACGTCTCTGATCATAAAAATTCAATTCATCATAACTCGATTAATTTTTCAAATATCAAATTGAAATTTGGTATACAGGTGTATTATTGTCATATGAGCAACACATTTTCTGATGTCGCTTACTTTATTCATTATTTTTAAAGATTTTATCTGGCGATGCTTGTTGTTAGTTGAAGACACGTGTTGTCACATGAAGACACTTGTTGTCACATGAAGACACTTGTTGTCACATGAAGACAATTGTTGTCACATGAAGACACTTGTTGTTAGTTGTAGAATCTTTTCAGTATAACCACTTGCAAATATTATTTTCAATATAGAAGTGCTTCATTTTTCAACCGATAAGGATAAGGAAAACTGATCGTTATCAATGTTATATGTTGTGCTATATGGGCAATTATAAAGAATTTGTTTCTTACTATATCATTCCAAATACATTTCCAGTTTTACATGTGATTTACTCCAAAACTTGTATTGGTCGCCCATCTTAAACTGAAAATTCACTTACATTTATTAACTTTAATTTCTGTTTTATTTGCAACATAGTAGGTAACATTTAAGTACCACATTTATTTATAAAAACAATCTACTACTAGTTCTGATATGATAAGCCATGATATCTGAACTAAAACAGCACACTATATACGTTGTCCAGTCTGGGCCTATGACCGGTAAAACACAAGCACATATCGGGTATATCGGGTCATAAGCCTGATCCCCACTTCAAATAAATTCCATGAAAAATTTATAAAATATTTATAGTGTACGAGTAAAGTAGCTTTAGAATTTGCCCTCCATCATAAATAATGATTCCATACCAGCTACAGAGACAGAATTCCTACATTCTGACAACTCGCAGGTACTACTAGACTCATCTGTCAATACACCAAAAATATAAGCAAGCTTAACATTGCTAGCTCCGTCCGCCAAGTAAAATGACCCTGTTCCAGAAAACATTTGATTTTGTCATAGCCGTTCATAATATCACGTCTGGAGCAGTCTAGATCAACGAGAACCTTTTTTATCTGATCTGATGTATGATTTACTATATACTGTATATATCATCCAGTTGAATTTTCTTAAACTTTTGTGACCTCTACACTGATTGGTTTCTAAATATGACAAGCCAATCAGTGTTGAGGTCACAAAAGTTTGAGAAAATGATTGTTTACGTTCAGATTTCGCAGCCTGACCAGCTTGAAAACTGACTCGGGCGTCCAACATGATAATGTTAGGGAAATAACCACCAAACATGTAAGTTTGTTTCCTATCGTAGAAACACTGTACTGACATGTAGCAGCGTACATGCCATGTATAGGGCGCTACCCACTAGAGATTTAGCGTGTCCTGGGGACAGCACGGTGCCCATCCAACTGAAAGTTGACCATTTTTCAGTGTTTCATGATGTCTACTACATAGTCTATGGTAAATCATACATCAAATTAAGAAACAATATTTTCCTGTCGATTTAGACTAGCACTGCTCCCGGCGTGATATAATGAACGGTTATGACAAAATTGCATGTTTTCTGGAACAGGGTCATTTCAATATGGAGATGCAGTTAGCAACCTTGTTTATGTTATGGGTGTATTGACAGGCGAGGCTAGTACCTGTGTTATGGGTGTATTGACAGGCGAGGCTAGTACCTGTGTTATGGGTGTATTGACAGGCGAGGCTAGTACCTGTGTTATGGGTGTATTGACAGGCGAGGCTAGTACCTGTGTTATGGGTGTATTGACAGGCGAGGCTAGTACCTGTGTTATGGGTGTATTGACAGGCGAGGCTAGTACCTGTGTTATGGGTGTATTGACAGGCAAGGCTAGTACCTGTGTTATGGGTGTATTGACAGACGAGGCTAGTACCTGTGTTATGGGTGTATTGACAGGCGAGGCTAGTACCTGTGCTATGGGTGTATTGACAGGCAAGGCTAGTACCTGTGTTATGGGTGTATTGACAGGCGAGGCTAGTACCTGTGTTATGGGTGTATTGACAGGCGAGGCTAGTACCTATGAACAACGCTGTGTGATATTTACCTAGATTCAGTTGAATCTCGGTCTCGAGCATGTATGGCACCCTGCTTTTCACTGCTTCTATCACTCGCCATGCTTCTAAAACCACCTCGGTCATTGCTGTTGCGGTCAGAACGCTGTGACCTTTCACTGTCTCTGTTGTGTCTACCGTTTGACCCATGACGTCTTTCCTGACCTTGACCTCTATCATGATCTCTCCGTCCTCTGTCTCTGTAATTTTGGGACCTGAGAGAGGACTGAAGGTTTCTCTTGTCTGCCCCCTTACTGTCCACATTCTGACAGTTTTGATTTGGCTGGTTCTGACCCGGCCCCATGTTACCCGCTATACCAAAGGGTGCCTGGTTCATGTTTTGAAAAACTGGAGATCTTATCTGGCCACCATTCATAAAACCCATGCCACCTTGTTGTGGTACCTGAAAATCAAAGAAAAATGCACCACAGCTAATAAAAATGCAATAAAATAACTTGTCTATCATAGCTATATATATAGGCTGTAGGCATTATTGTTCACCACATGTGTTATCAGTTCTATGTCACGTTTGTAGTTTTACATGATATTTTAATAGTGTTTTCTATGTACATTATAACAACTTAGTGATATATTTGATTTTCATCATGCATGCAGACAAAATGAACATGATTTGTCAAATTTCAGTGTGTTTTACAATAAACTTTCCAATGACATGAACTGCATGAACACTTTGGAGACAGTAGCAAAATTTGACCGAGATTTTAACAGCATACAAATTATATTATACCATTCCATACAAACAATTTGAGAAAGTTTTTCCTCAAAAAAACTGGCCATAATTAACATTTTATGGAAATCTCGTTCCATCTACGGTCAGACAGTTTTGTTTACAAATAATATTTTTTACGAACATCCTGGCATAGAAGTGAAATACACCTGTCAAAAATTACAACTTTGTTATATTATGGCATTGTCAAGAAATTTTGTTTGTCTATTGGTTTTTGAAAATATAAAACAGTCTGCAGTCAAATAGTCAATATTTAATTTCATTCATTGTTTTTTTTAGCATAGACAATTAGACATAATAAAAACAAAATTTACTGACTTTGGATCTGTGATTGTTCTTGACCTGTACAAGAAAAAATGGGAATTTAAACTAAAAATGATTAAGTTTCATACCTGTAAATTGATTGCCGTTGGGTTAAATGCTAGCTGGTCATGTTGAGAAGGTACATTGGGGGCTGCCCCCATGAAATTCAGAGATGAAACATTTCCAATGTTCATATTTCCTGGCATCATTTGTCCTCGGGCAGTCATGGGATTGGGACGTTGCATCCCTGCTATGGCACCTGACCCCCATAGTGGCTGTACAGGCTGGCCAGGCCCAGTGATCGGGACATTGCCTACAGGACTGAACAACCTCATGGTAGGGGGAGGGGGTCCAGTCGGATGACACCCCATTGGAAGTCTGAGACTAGGGGACATCTGTGCCAATACTGGATTGTTCGGCGACTGATTTTGTAGAAACGGACTCCCATTTGGAATCACACCCTGGTGCTGGTGCATCCGAGGGGAGATATTGTTTCCCACTCCACCTGGAAACTGAATACACGAGAATTAAAACATTTTTCATATATAAAACAAACCAGCTCAGGAAAATACAATATCGCCTACGAAGTGATTTTGTCATACTACTGTTTACGTAGCAGAACTGGAATAGGTCGATCGTCGACGACCAAATAGCCTCATATTAGTAGAGCATCCATCTAAGAGTTTGGCAGGTACGTACTGGAGCACCAGCAAATCTGGCTCTATAGGCAGTTTTCATAAAGTGGATTTTTCTAGTCTCAGGTAACCACTCCTGGACTCCGTAGAACAATAGGAACAACACCATTATTATGCACAAGTACATATTTATTTACACAAAATACCTTACGAGACGACCCCTCCCCCCCCACCCCCAACATAATAAAGAACAAGCAATACACACAATATACATACGACGAAATAGACAACTCCCCTAAAGATAAACGTCGAACAATTTAGAATTTAAGTTAAACCGGTATTTGCTGACTCTCGGCCAGTTCCTAGGCTAAACTTGATCTCAGGTGTCAACAGAGACTGCTGAAAGCAACCAAAACATAATTTTTGAGACCCAGGGCGAAAGTATGATTTTTTCTGAACAGAATGTTGTGCCAGGGCAGGTTACGTGAGTTCTGATTAGTTCCTTGTCCAAAACTCCCGTCAGAACTGACGAAACCCTCGCGCATTCACCTAAATACCTGACCTAGTCCCACCTCCCAACCCTGGAACCAACTAGTTTCACCCGTTCAAACAATGAACCCTACAAACAATCGGGATACCAGCTGCTACCCGTGTTAAATATAGCAAAGGAGAATTCCAAACTACCGCTAGGCAACACTGCTACATATTAAAACCACATTATTGACGACTCACAAAGGACAGAGTATATATACCTTGCAGGAATGAACGTGTTCCTCCTACAAGTCTATGTTGTATCAAAAGAAGAATATTGATGGGAGTTCTGACACAGATATTTATAAAACACTCTGGATATGGATCTTGAAAAACAATTCAAGCAGAAACAGGAAACACACATATTTTGTTGGCCTAGTCTGAATTTATTCCTCCAGTCAAAAAAATACATAGTCCTAGCATGCGCCATTATTGAAAAATGTAAACAAATAATTAGATTTTGATTTTACTATGTTTTGTAATGCTCTCTGAACTTTAATGATCTCTGAACTTTAATCTTTAATGCTCTATGAACTTAAATATCAATCATCTCTTGACTAATGAATGATGCATAACTAAGTAATATAATGATGCAGTATTGTATTAACTTAGCTGTTGATATTTTTTTTGTTTTAAAAGTATTTTTGCGGAGAGTGATCTGATTTGGGTACTAATCCAATAACGGTCCTGTCTCCTTAATGTTTGACTCTATATAGCCAAATCTGCCTTCTATAGCCAGATTTGCCGGTGCTCCGTACCTGTTCGGAGGGTCCCCAGGTTCGAACCTGCAAAGTCTGAGAATACACTTAAGTGGTATGGACTGTACCTTGAAGAAGAAGAACCCCGGTCTGGCCGTGCATTTCTCTTACTCCTGGTACACTACAATAACGTAGTTTCAACAGGAATGGTTTTACTATTAAAACAGGCGTTTGTTCTCAGTGATTATTTTAAAGGCTTAGGCCCCTACCTCCAGATAATTTTTGCTGTTTTTTTCCCAAAATCAATGCCAAAAATCACTTTATTTCCAAAACTCATGACTTTTTTAGGGGGGGGGGGGGTATTTTCGCAAATCAACAGATACAGGCCCCTGCGGAAAGGAAGTAGACATTTGGTAACGGGCTCCGGATCCGAAGCCCTTCACTTTCGAAGTGGAACATGAACAAATGACTAGTCATAATAGAAAATTGCTAAGAGTTAACGAGAAACCGGTATCATCTCATTTAGACTTACTCGCATCTGTCCCATGAATCTTGGATTTCCACGGAGATCCATGGCTTATATATAATGAAATATATCAGCCAACAAAATCAACATGAACCCATTTCTCCATCTTCTCACACATTTGCGCATTAACCTGAAGTGTTGTCGCAATCATCTGATCATAGTGCGACGTGCTAACAGCGAGAAGCGGAAACCTATATCAACTTCAGACATCGGAATCTCAGTGATGCTTTAATTTTTCGTCGGCGTTATTCAGGTGCTTTAAATTTCGAAAGCTCTCTGTTGGAACTAGGCCTATGGAACGCCAAATTAAATATTTTCAATTGATTGCACCTATCTTCTAAGATAGATACAAGTAATTGAAGATAGATACACTTATTTGAATATAAGTAAAAATAATTTGGAGTTCAATATAACTGGGGAAAAACTAGAGCATGTCAGTAACTGAAATTGAGTTGTGTGTGTGTTCTTTTAAATATGAGCAGGGGTGTGTAGTGATCCACTACACATCCCTGATATGAGTAAACATTTAGCGACAAATCTCACCCGCCGCGAATAGCCGTTATAGATTGCCACCACAATGATGATAATATACTCGTATCATCATTGGGGTTGCATTTCTACCGATAATTGAGTCTAAGTAAACTCCCCAAACGTGTAAAATTACTCTAAACACCTTAGTTCAGGTCCAAATATATATAGCTGTAACAGATCCTCAAGTCTCTGTGGAAAAGACATCTCGAATAAACTGAAAAGAAATAGTATCTACGATGGCCAAACAAATGTTCACCGGGCATTTCACAAGTATGGTCTTTTATCGTCAAATTAGTCGCGCTACCATCCGACAAAACCTGTATCTTGTCACATAAAATAAATTAATCATATTATATTATTATTTAATGTTTACATTTTCAAATTACAAATCAATTACATATTTGATATTGAAAATAAAGTTTTGATATACAGCTGATTATCGCTGACTTTTGTTTAACTCGCAACAACATCAAAATGGAGTAAGGTGATTAACTTAGCCTGTACTCGACGTACATTTTATAGACTATAAATAATGTTGGATTGATGCAAAGGAAAATCTCCCTTAAATTCTTTGACGATTTTGAGAATGAATCAAATCCACCAATCTGAATCTATGGACATGCTCGTCAACACTTGATACTGTTTCTTGAAAGTGACCTTGGCGATACTGTTCAGCGGGACATTCTCACCGTAAAAGCTTGACAGGTTTTAGTGGTTTTTTTGTTTGACCGCTAGTAAATCTTCCAATACATGTATACAAAATTAAATGGGGTACCCTCAATCGACAAATGAAACCAGTCCTGCGACTCGCTTGTTTACCGGTACCTTTTCGGAGAGGTTTTTGGAAAAGCGGTTGTCCGGTTGGAAAATAATACACGCACGCGCATGGTGAGACTGGCCACCGTCTCAAGAATATTTAATTATTATGAAAAAAGTTTAACTAAAAAAAAATTGATCTTTTGGATGTCTGATTCTAACTAGGGGGAGATAAGCTAGTAGTAAAATGCAGCTGAGAAATTCTTCATAAAAACTTAGGGGCTGGTAGCCAGTCTAGCGCATGGTCTATCGTTTAATAATCCATGGTTATATACCAACGGAAAGTGTCTGTACATCTCAAACGTGGTAGAAATCTACGATCGTATGGTCTATATAAACTGGTTTCGTTTCTTTGATAATGTCCTAGATTATATATTCTTAGCCATGTCTATAGTATGTAACAAAAATGGGCGGTTATTATTAAATATAACAACTTTCGCCTTAGAAATTCACTCTGGATATACCGAAATATGGGAATAAAAAAGTGAATTGGTCCATCTAAATTTTATTCAGTGTAACCTAGGCTATTTAATTAAGTGCTACCTGCCCGGGAGTTATTGAGAACTGTAGTAGAGACATTACATTGTATATAATAGACAGTATTCTAAGTTTGTCGTCCTTGTCGTCCGGTTAGTATGCGGGAACTTTATGCATCAGAAAACAGAATGCCGCCATGTCGGTTATCAGAAAACAGAATGCCGCTATGTCGGTTATAAGAAAACAGAATGCCGCTATGTCGGTTATCAGAAAACAGAATGCCGCTATGTCGGTTATCAGAAAACAGAATGCCGCCATGTCGGTTATCAGAAAACAGCATACCGCCTTATCAGTTATCAGAAAACAGAATGCCGCCTTGTCGGTTATCAGAAAACAGCATGCCGCCTTGTCGGCTATCAGCAAACAGCATGCCGCTATGTCGGATATCAGAAAACAGAATTCCGCCATTTCGGTTATCTGTAAACAGCATGCCGCCCTGTCGGTTTTCAAAAAACAGAATGCCTCTATGTCGGTTATCAAAAAACAGAATACCGCTATGTCGGTTATAGAAAACAGCATACCGCTATGTCGGTTATAGAAAACAGCATACCGCCATGTCGGTTATCAAAAAACCGAATGCCGCTATGTCGGATATCAGAAAACAGCATTCAGACTTGACGTTAATCAGAAAACAGCATACCGCCTTATCAGTTATCAGAAAACAGCATAACGCCTTGTCGGTTATAAGAAAACAGCATGCCGCCCTGTCGGTTTTCAAAAAACAGAATGCCGCCATGTCGGTTGTCAGAAAACAGCATACCGCCTTATCAGTTATCATAAAACAGAATGCCGCCTTGTCGGTCATCAGAAAACAGCATGCCGCCATGTCGGTTGTCAGAAAACAGCATAACGCCTTGTCGGTTATAAGAAAACAGGATGCCGCTATGTCGGCTATCAGAAAACAGCATTCAGACTTGACGTTAATCAGAAAACAGCATAACGCCTTGTCGGTTATAAGAAAACAGAATGCCGCCATTTCGGTTATCTGTAAACAGCATGCCGCCCTGTCGGTTATCAAGAAACAGAATGCCGCTATGTCGGTTATCAGAAAACAGAATGCCGCCATTTCGGTTATCAGAAAACAGCATGCCGCCTTGTCGGTTATCAGAAAACAGCATGCCGCTATGTCGGTTATCAGAAAACAGAATGCCGCCATGTCGGTTTATCAGAAAACAGAATGCCGCCATGTCGGTTTATCAGAAAACAGAATGCCGCCATGTCGGTTATCAGAAAACAGCATGCCACTTTGTCGGTTATCAGAAAACAGAATGCCTCCCTGTCGGTTATCAGAAAACAGAATGCCGCCATTTCGGTTTTCAGAAAACAGCATGCCGCCATGTCGGTTATCAGAAAACAGCATGCCACTTTGTCAGTTATCAGAAAACAGAATGCCGCCCTGTCGGTTATCAAAAAACAGCATACCGCCTTGTCGGTTATCAGAAAATAGAATGCCACCATGTCGGTTATCAGAAAACAGCATGCCGCCTTGTCGGATATCAGAAAACAGCATGCCGCTATGTCGGTTATCAGAAAACAGAATGCCGCCATTTCGGTTTTCAGAAAACAGCATGCCGCCATGTCGGTTATCAGAAAACAGCATGCCACTTTGTCAGTTATCAGAAAACAGAATGCCGCCCTGTCGGTTATCAAAAAACAGCATACCGCCTTGTTGGTTATCAGAAAACAGAATACCGCCATGTCAGTTATCAAAAAACAGAATGCCGCAATGTCGGTTATCAGAAAACAGAATGCCGCTATGTCGGTTATCAGAAAACAGTATGCCGCTATGTCGGTTATCAGAAAACAGCATGCCGCCCTGTCGGTTTTCAAAAAACAGAATGCCGCTATGTCGGTTATCAGAAAACAGTATGCCGCTATGTCGGTTATCAGAAAACAGCATGCCGCTATGTCGGTTATCAGAAAACAGCATGCCGCCCTGTCGGTTTTCAAAAAACAGAATGCCGCTATGTCGGTTATCAGAAAACAGCATGCCGCCCTGTCGGTTTTCAAAAAACAGAATGCCGCTATGTCGGTTATCAGAAAACAGAATGCTACCCTATGTCGGTTATCAGAAAACAGCATACCGCCATGTCGGTTATCAGAAAACAGAATGCCACTTTGTCGGTTCTCAGAAAACAGAATGCCGCCCTGTCGGTTATCAAAAAACAGAATGCCGCTTTGTCGGTTATCAGAAAACAGAATGCCGCCATGTCGGGTATCAGAAAACAGCATGCCGCTATGTCGGTTATCAGAAAACAGCATGCCGCCATTTCGGTTATCAGAAAACAGCATGCCGCCTTGTCGGTTATCAGAAAACAAAATGCCACCATGTCGGTTATCAGAAAACAGAATGCCTCTTTGTCGGTTATCAGAAAACAGAATGCCGCCCTGTCGGTTATCAAAAAACAGCATACCGCCTTGTTGGTTATCAGAAAACAGAATACCGCCATGTCAGTTATCAAAAAACAGAATGCCACAATGTCGGTTTTCAGAAAACAGAATGCCGCTATGTCGGTTATCAGAAAACAGAATGCTACCCTATGTCGGTTATCAGAAAACAGCATACCGCCATGTCGGTTATCGGAAAACAGAATGCCACCATGTCGGTTATCAGAAAACAGAATGCCACCATGTCGGTTATGGTTATCAGAAAACAGCATGCCACCATGTCGGTTATCAAAAAACAGAATGCCGCTATGTCGGTTATCAGAAAACAGAAGGCCGCCATTTCGGTTATCAGAAAACAGCATGCCGCCTTGTCGGATATCAGAAAACAGCATGCCGCTATGTCGGTTATCAGAAAACAGCATAACGCCTTGTCGGTTATCAGAAAACAGAATGCCGCCATGTCGGGTATCAGAAAACAGCATGCCGCTATGTCGGTTATCAGAAAACAGCATGCCGCCCTGTCGGTTTTCAAAAAACAGAATGCCGCTATGTCGGTTATCAGAAAACAGAAGGCCGCCATTTCGGTTATCAGAAAACAGCATGCCGCCATGTCGGTTATCAGAAAACAGCATGCCACTTTGTCAGTTATCAGAAAACAGAATGCCGCCCTGTCGGTTATCAAAAAACAGAATGCCGCTTTGTCGGTTATCAGAAAACAGAATGCCACTTTGTCGGTTCTCAGAAAACAGAATGCCGCCCTGTCGGTTATCAGAAAACAGCATGCCGCCATGTCGGTTATCAGAAAACAGCATACCGCCTTGTCGGTTATCAGAACACAGAATGCCGCCATGTCGGTTATCAGAAAACAGCATGCCA